CTGGGATTTCAGGGCCTATAATTTTCCACCAAACTCTACACAACTTTAAGTTAGAAATCTGGAGAGGAATGTGGACTTTTTGTTGCTATTACTAAAAATAACTCTTTCCTGCGATACCCAAATCAATGGAAAAAAGACCTTTGTATGAATTCTGCTTTTTAAAAAAAGGATGATGACACACTGGTTGCAAATGGCCCTCTCAACAGCCCTTTTCCTCTTCTCCCTAACCCCAAACCCCAATGTGATGGCTGTGGCAACATGCCTGGCTGAAAAGTCCCTGACATTTAAGGTGGTTTTTAAAAGCTGGTTCTCACCAATGAAATGTAATGAGACGTCTACTTGGTGAGGTCTGTGGCTACTGTTTTCCTTATACGAAGGAACAAACTTAGTTGGCGTGCACCTTGAACTTCTACTATTGCCCCTCCTCCCACCTAGAATGCAGATCGGATGCCTGGGGAACAACTAGCCATCTCCCAGCCACAACGCAACTGTGTGGCAGAGCAGGAAGCCAGGAGCAGCCGGGGCAATGCGGGACCTTGCCCACTGGCTGCACCTGCCCTGCTCTGCCCTCCACGGGCCTTCCTGCTGTTGGAAAAATCATGCCGGCTTGATTCAGAAACCTGGGGTCAAGTTTCTGATCCATGTAGCCAAATTCAATAGTAAGCGATACACAAGAGTACCTGAAAATCAATTTGTCCTGAAAGACCAGGAGTTTTAAACTTCAACGGAAACAGCAGACGGCAGCTGAAACGTGAGTAAATCTGAGCAGGTGTATGAAAGGAAGGAATGGCAAACTGGACAAGGCAGGATGCATGTAAGCAAGCACCATTATCAGTACCAGCCGGCTCCAGCCAGCTGCCCTCTTGGCGGGAGGTGGTGGGGGGGGGGGGTTGCTGGCCCAGTGTGTCCCCTGTGCTAGAACTGATTTTAAAAAGAAGCCCAGAATCTGGATTTTCACATGAAGTTTCCTAATTTATAAACAACTAAATTAAAACATTTTAAACTCTGTATGGATCAAATAAGACATGACTGTAGGTCACGTTCAACCCCAAGGCTCCCAGTTTTCAATCTTAATAGAGGGGGTTAAGGCAAAATAAAAAGAACATCCAAGTTCTAGAAAAATAATAGTGATTAGCAGCAAATTGGGTGCTATGTGCCAGAGACTTTGTGGAGGGTTTTACATCTATTATCTCATGTTTTCTTTTCAGCCACCGTGTGGAGGACATGAAATGGTTATCCCTAGCTTACCAATGAGGGAACTGAGGCTGAAAGATGTTAAATCACTTGCTTGGAGCCCTAGGGTTCATGGGTGGCCGAGCCAGGATTCCAACCCAGGCCCGTATGACCCCAAGGCCTGTGCTCTTCCCCACTCGTCCTGAGGAATGCCCGCACATCCAGGAAGCACAAGCACTGCTTTGGGTCACTACCAGTTTACCTATGGATAAAAGAGTCAGGGTCCTCAAGGGGACTTCAAGTCAGTTTGACAGGAGACCCAGGCTCACATCCTCCTACATTGCTGCCTTTTAATAAAAATGGCAATGCAGTGGCCAATACTTATCTATTTACTAGATTACGGACTGAAAGCACATGTGTGTAGTGCTGTTTGGTTTACTAAAGTACTCTGAATGCATCTCTCTCTTAATCCCCACAGCAGCCTGGTGGTATGGTGACCACCACCTGACAGATAATGAAATGGAGGATTAGAGAGATTGGTGGACTTGTTCAAGATCCAGGCAATTAGTAGAGTGGGTCTCGAGCTCTGGATTGCCGGGGCCAAGCTGTGTGTTCTCTCTACTTTAGCAGATTACTCTTCCTCTTCCTCAACCAGAGTGCCCAACTCCACTACCCTCCTTCAAAATTATCATTCCTACTGAACTCTCCAGGAACCCAGATGTCTGGCAGCCCCCAGACACCATATTTACATGTTCATGGATAGCTTCATCCTACAATATCGTCAGCGAGAGGACAAAGAAAAATATACCAAGTCATGTGCTCCGCATGGGAATGTAAATGGGCACACACACAAGTCTTGGAATCTAATTTTAGAAAGAAAACAGCCAAAAAGCCCCACACAGCACAGTGAGCATCTGGCCCTGGGAGAGGCTGCCACACTGCTTTAAACCTTGGTCAACCCAGGGAGGCAAGGAATGCTGGAATTTTGACTGGCGTGTCACTGTCAGGCACCAGAGAGGTGAAAGAGGGGAACACCTTTTCATCATATTCTCCCAGAAAAATGCTAAGGCCCAGAGGTAGATGTCCCTGGGGAAATCAGCAGGTATTCCAGAGAGGCTGAAACCCTGAGAAGTTCATCCCAGTCTATAACTTTGAAGTTAGGTACTCACAGAACTGACTCTCACTTGGAGCCCAGGGGAAGGTGACGGCGGGAGAACAATGCCTACTGACCCCAGCCTAGAAGCTGGTGTGGTGTGGGGGCAACACAGAGCCTCAAGGCCATCAGGTCATTCCAGGACAACCTTCCTGGCCCACCACCTAACCACGACGGGTGGCCAGAATCACCTTCACAATTAAGTAGACGTGTGATTAGTCTTTCTGGTTGCCAGTGACCACGGGAACAGAAGTTCCATGATGGCAGGAGATTCTGTCTCTTTTGATCACTGAAATATGCCAACCCTGTAAAATGGTACCTGGCACACAGTAAACTCTAATAAATACTTGATGGACAAAGGAATAAATGATATGCTGTTGAGATGCAAGCTCCTAGACCCACGGTCTAAAGTGGCCAGAGGCCAAGAGGAGACTGCCATTAACCTAGTCATGTGCTTCCACGTTCTCTAATGTTTTTTAATTTATTATTTAGACAGAGAGAAACAGAGCATGAGTGGGGGAGGGTCAGAGAGAGAGGGAGACACAGAATCCAAAGCAGGCTGCAGGCTCTGAGCTTCAGCACAGAGCCTGATACAGGGCTTGAACTCATGAACCATGAGATTGTGACCTGAGCTGAAGTCGGCCTCTTAACCAAATGAGCCACCCAGGCACCCCTTGCACGTTCTCTCTTTGAAGAGAACTCTTAGAAGACATCCACAATTGCAGTTCAAGCTCCCTGAATCCCAGGGTAGGGTATGATCTGCGTTCTCTCGCCCTCTTCCCACATTCTACCACCGCTCCCTTAGCTGTGCCTTCAGTGGTCCACCCTCTGCCCGAACCGCCACCCCCCCCACCCCCCCCGCCCGGCCTCCATCCCACAACCCTCCTCCTCAGCTTCTAAGGGCTCCATTCCACACCGTGTGCTTCACCTCCCTGAGCCTCTGCGCTGTCGACTGCATGCCTGTTCCATGCTGGGCACTGTGGTCAACAAAGGGGTTACCATGGTAAAACACAACTCCTGACTTCCCAAAGCTCCCATCTTGTGAGGGAGCTGGGCAGGTAAACAAGTAGAATACAATGTAAGAAGCACTATAATGCAGCTGCTATGGCCAAAGTCACAAACTGACAAACCTCAGGACTAATCTAGTCCATATGGTGACTTGTTAAATTGTTTGCTAACCTGTAAAAATGTGTTGCTTTCTCACATTTTAGACTGCCAGTATCTCTTAGAGAATCAGAGGATCTGGGAATACGGGGCCTGTATTCTCCAGTGTCGGTCAGCTTTCGCTAGGCAGTGGTTACCTCTTTACAGGGGACATGTGGCCCCCGCCCCGTTTCCACAACCCCCCTCCCACCCTCTCCCTACTGCTCCAGGCAATGAGGCCAAGGGTAGGTTACCAACTTTCTGTGCTGCCATGACTGTTATCTTAGAGGAATGATCCTTGGTACCCACATTTCTACAGTGAGTGAGAAAGTGAAAGATAAACTGAAAGGGCCATGTAGAGAAATGCTGGAGAACTTACTTCCTGCAAGGGTGAAGAACGTCCCAACAAATGTTAGAAGTAGCTATGTCTTTAGTAGCATCTTCCCAGCATGCTTTGCTCATGCAGCTGCCTAGCCCGTTAGAACAGCTTCACTGTGTAGATCCCCTCACCTATTTTATACCTACTATGGCCAACGAGCTGGATACCTGAGAAGCCAGGTTTCCTGCTGCTTAGGAACTGTCTAGTGGGGCAGATAGATACATAAATAGAAAATTAGCATACAATGTGAGAACATACACAAGTTCTATGATAGGTACCACCAAGAAGCAGGAGCCCTAAGACAGCCTGAAGGAGTTATTTAGAGCTGGCAAAGGGATTACCCTGAAACTGACTCTTGAAAAGGGCAAAGTTTGTTCAAATGGACGGAGGAAGGTACAAAGGGGCTCTGAGGAAACTGCCAAAAATAATGCCCTGTCATTAAAAGTGTTGCTCATCAGGATTACCCACCCTCCACAGAGCAGCTGGACAAATTCCCACCATTCCAGGCCACTCGGAAAAGTTTCCAGGAAAGCAAGGCCAGTACTAATCCCCTTCCTGCCTGAAAACTGTAGAAAGTGCAGGTCACCTCTGAGAGCAAACGTCCAGTTGTGGAATCCAACATCCAACGTATGTCACCAGCACGCCTCATGGGCATTTATTTGGTAGAATTAAAGACCTGAATTTTACTGGATTTTCAGACTTCCCAGTTACCCCTGCCCCAGCAAACTGAAGAACATTCTCCACTGGGAATATAAAGCTATGCAGAGAAACTACTCTGGCATCAAAGAGAAAACGTTCCTCTGTCATTTCTTGCTAATAGGACAAATGCCAAGAAAGGGAATTCCCAAATCAAGATGGGAGGAAGGGCTGGTGTTAAAAAGAAGACATCTGGAATACTAAATCCTTGCTCATTAAGTAATTACTAACTCTGGGGCACCTGGGTGGCTCAGTCCCTTAAGCAACCAGCTCTTGATTTCAGGTTAGGTCATGATCTCTGGGTTCGAGCTGACAGCACGGAGCCTGCTTGGGATTCTCTGTTTCTCCCCTGCCTTCCACCCCGCCCCCCCCCCCGACTTCTCTCTCTCTTTCAAAATAAATACATTTTTTAAAAAAGCAGTTACTAACTCTTAGCATTTTTTTTTTAACACCCACCTCTCCAGTAAGAATCGAAGAGGAGTTCTTGTTACTGAGATGATTCTCCACTTGAGCTGACTCCTGTTGAGCTCGGCGACCCATCTTGGGCCCCTGTAAGGAGAGACGGCAAGAGCTGCTGACCCAAACATCTTTGAGCCACTATGAAGACAAGAATTCTGGGAAGGTAAGCAAGGACAGGATTTACGAAGACATGGTGGCTGATGGGATTTGAGAAACGTGAATTTATTTCTAAAAAATGCTCCAAATCCTTAAAACAAAGCACCTCACATCATTTCTATTTAATAGGAAAATATGAAATTCCTGGAATAATGATCCAAGTTTCTCCTTTAGGTAGAGCTTTAGTTTAGTTTCTCCTTTGGGTAGGTCTTTCCTATCCAAAGAAATGTAGCTACATTCCTCTAAAATGACCAGAGACCTCATGTCAGGCACTGGATTAAATGTTTCCCATGCCTGATTCCATTTAATCTTCACTGCAGCTCTTGGAAGTAGATATCAACATCTCCATTCTAGAGATAAGGAAACCGAGGCTCGAGAAGAGTTCATTTGTTTTAATTTTTACAATTTGATTATAATTGACACACAATGTTAACTTTTGTTTGTTTGTTTGTTTTAAACCGAGTAAGCAGCTTCATACTCCATTTGACCTCTGGACCCACGGCACCTAGCCATTCCTCCAATGTTATAAATCCGAGTCTTAATTTCCTAAATCATAACGCTAAGGTAACGCCTACCTCCTCGTGGGAATTTATGACAAGAAAAGGCCCCTCCAGCCTGCCTTCCTCATGCGTTAAAACACTACGGTCTTTACATGAACTTCTGGCAGGAGAAGTCCCACGGAAAAAGCCCTAGTATGAGTGCAAGTGCAACCCTGGCCAGGAACCGCCCCCCCCCCCCCCCCCCCCCTCCGCCCCCAGTCACCCTTCAGATATGTCCGTTCAAGGGGAGTTAGCACTCGGGGCTCCAGAAAGCGCAGACTGGCTGGAAAATTTCCCACCGCTCCCAGAGGCGGCAGGGGCAGGATGTGTTTTCTTCTTTTGGAGAATTTTAAAGAAAGCACACTCCAGGCCAGCAGCGGCGCAGTCCACCGCGGCCCCGGGGGCGGGGCAGCTGAGGCCGCCTCTTCCCCGGCCTCACCCCGGCGCGGCTCTGGGCCCGCCCGCTCCGGCCGCTGGGAACGGGCCAGGCCAAGGCGCCTCAATGACGCCGGGCCGGAGAGGTCGCTCCTCCCCACCCGCCAAATCCTAGCCCCAAATCCCCAAGCCGAGCCTCACGGAGGTGGCCGAGCTGCGGCGCCGCTCCTCGCCTAAGTCCAGCAAGTCCTCCATCTCCGCGGCCGCCCGACGTCACTTCCTGGAAACCAAGCGGCCCAGTCGCGTCCCTGACGACGGCTCCGCCCTTTCATCCCAATATTTAAAGGATCCGCGGCATCATTCCTGGATTCCGTGTATCCCCTTTGAATTTAAATGAAAACTTTTGTAAACTTCCTTGCTGAACTTCTGCAAGAAACCTCCAGATAGTAAATCCTGCTAAGGCTGCTCCTGTGGGACAGTGAAAATGTTAGTCTTTAGGAACTGTCTACATTTGTAGCTCTGTTTAAATATTAAGTGCAAAGCATTAGCTAATAGTAGTAATTAAACTGATCCTTCCTATATAGCTTCCTATTTAGCCTTTGCAGTGTACAAACGAACTTCACAGTTATTAGCTCACGTGAAGGGCATAATAACCATACGTGGAAAAACAAGATAAGTTGTCTTGTCTCCATTGGACAGTAAAGAAAACAGGCTCAAGGGTGGGGGAGTGCGGGGGGGGGGGGAGGTGTCAGGTGCAAATAAATAGTTTCTAATGGAAAATGCAATATATATAGTCTCTGCCTTCAAGAACTTTACAAAGAGGCTGAATAAGATGTCAAATACTTAAGTAGTAATAAGAGTCAAAAGTATAAGTAATCCCTCCAACAGTCCCACAAAGTGAACACCAGTGATAGCTCTATTCAACAGTTGAGGACACCGAGGTGCAAAGAGGTGACTTGAGGGAAATCATCTGAGTGCTAAGCAGCAGAGCCAGGTGTCTTTTCTTTTTGTTTTGTTTTAAGTTTATTTATTTATTTTGAGAGGGAGAGTGCATGTGCAGGAAGGACAGAGAGAGGGAGAGACAGAATCTCAAGCAGGCTGCGTGCTGTCAGCGCAAAGCACAATGATGTGGGGCTCAAATTCGCGAACCATGAGATATCGAGAGTTGGAGGCTTAACCAACTGAGCCACCCCGGTGCCCCTCCAGGTGCCTTTTTGATACCAGATCTTACAAGAGTTATTTTTCTCCTGCACATATTACTAGGTACCAGCCATTCTCCTAGGCTAGCCAAGGAAGATATTCCTCAAATTCCCAGCCTAATGGGGCAAGCAAGTTAAGTCTTCATTGACTCTTCATGTGAGATCCCCAAGTCATGGATCCCCCTGTTCCTGGTCAGTTGGAACCCCCAGAAGATGGTCTTGTGGTCCTGAGAGTGAGCAAGATTCCCAATATCATGCTGGGCATAAGGTCTAGATGAGCACTGCTAGAACGTGAGGACTTGCCAGTGGAAGTAGCGCCCCCTACAAGTGGATTGCAAGCATTTCCTAAATACCAAATAAATTATTCAATGCAACCAGTCATCCACAGATGTTTACTGGGTAGGGCCCGTGTGTTTGCATCCTTGTGAGAGCAACAACACTGCTTGGATGTCAGAAAATCTGAGGTCTTATCCTGGTTCTGCTGATAACTACCTGTGTGGCCAGGCATAACCCTCTGGACCTGTCTTCTCTCTTGTAATTGCTTGTAGGGATTAACCCAAGATCTGCTTCTCAATGAAAACACCCTGTAGATTTTAATCTGAAGAAACATCCATGGCCAAAATCCGAGACAGAGGAAATACAGGCTCCAATGAATCTTTTATTTCCTTTTTCCTTGGTACCAGATGAAGAAGAAGGGATTACTCTTTGGATTTTTCCAAAATCTATATCCTACCTCCCTGCTTTGTGTGAGCTCACAGTGACACTACTACCGCCTTAAAGGCAGTTTTCAAACCTTTATCCTCACTTCTTCCTTGACTTGCTGAAAGCAAATGGTGCCTGGTGCTTACTCTGGGCAGAAAGAAGCTCCAGAGTAGTGTCTTCCAGACCTTGCTGAGCACCCAAATCACCTGTGAGGGTTATTATACTACTCTTTTTTTTTTTTAAGTTTATTTTATTTTGAGGGGGACGGGAGGGGGCGCAGGGGAGGGGCAGAGAGAGGAGGAGAGAGAGAAAATCCCAAGCAGGCCCAGAGCTGCCAGCAGAGCCGGATGCGGGGCTTGAACCCATGAACCCATGAGATCATGACCTGAGCTGAAACTGTGAGTAGGATGTTCCCCCGACTGAGCCACCCAGGTGCCCCGCCCCACCTGTGAGGTTTATGAAAAACACATGTGCCAGGTCCCCAACCCCGGAGGGTGATTTGGTAGAGGTGGAGTCTTCAGAAGGATATCATTTTAATAAATTTCCTCCCATCTTGCAAGTGTTTGCTTAAAGGCCTCGGTAAGGTTTCTGTCACCCTATTTCAAGTTTCAGCAATCCCAACCCAGCACTCCATATTCTATCTCCCTGCTTTATTCTCTGCCATGGCACTTACCTTTTATCACAGTGCATAAATTACTTGGGTTATGGGCTTTCCCATGCACCTGTGTAAGTTCCATTAAGGGCAAGGGCTTTGTTTGTTTGTTTTGTTCACTGCTTCATCCACAGCGCCTAGAACAGTGTCGGGCACACAGTGAATGTCAAAAATATTTCTCAAGTGGTGGCTGAATTTCAGAGGCAGTACTGCATGGGGAAGTCCACAGAATCTGGTGATAGACTTCCTGCGTCCAAATCTCAGTGTTGACACCTACTGGCTATATATTCTAGGTAAGTTACGTTTAAGCTTTCTACACCTAGATTTCCTCGTGTTATTCAAATGACAACAATGTCTACCCAAACTGGAGGGGTTGAGTTAACTATCACCTCCACCACCCATAAGCGTGTGGCCTTAAAGAAAAAAAAAAGTGCTCTGTGCCTCAGTGTCCTCAACAGTAGCCTGTCCTGGGAATTCTGTGAACATCCCAGCGGCCTAGGAGCCAGGAGCAGGAAGCTGACCTCACACGAAGGGTCCAGGAAGGGTGGGTGAGGTGGGGTTCAGTGGCTGGAAGCAGCACTGATTCCCAGGAGGGATCAATTCAGAGGCTGTGTTGCTGGGAAGCAACGCGCCTTGCCTTCTCTGAGCTTCTCGTGGGAACAGGCCTAGAAGCTTAGCTGGAGAAGAGGAACGAGAGCGAGCGGAGAGAAAACTTCCCCTCACCCATCTGGGAAATGGGCTGCGGCCAACTGCTGACTTTGCGCTCGCTGGCGCAGCTCCCTGCGGAACCCTCGGCGGGGAGGGAGGCTGCGAACATCTGGAGGACATTTCTGCGAGAGCGGCTGCCGAGCGGGGCCCGGGGAAGAGAGAGGTGCACTTGTGCGCACTTCGGACAGAGACGGAGACCGGCCCTCCGGGCTCCGGGTCCGCCGCCCTCGCCCGCTCCCGCGGCCCCTTCCCTCCGGCCCCCCAGCCCCACCCCCAGCCCTCCCCGCCGTCCCGGCCCCGGCCCGCCGCGCTCCTTCACTGGCGGCCTCGCCTCGCCAGAGGGCACCCTCGATCTGCCGGAAAACGCCACCATTTTCAATGGCCCTGGAGCATCTCCAAGCTTCGGCCCCGCCGCCCGACTCCAGGCTTGTCAGTGAAGAACCGGGGCCAAGAGCGCCGCGGAGCCGAGCCCACCTCCAACCCCGCTCCCCGGTCGGGCGTCGCCCCCCACCCCCGAGGGTGCGCACGGCCGCCCCAGAGCAGGCCCCGCGCGCGCGCGTCCCTGTCCCTGCCCCTGTCCCTGTCCCTGCCCGGTGTCCCGCCGGGTGCGGGGGCGGCCCGGGCTGGGGGGCCGGGGCCGGTGGAGAGAGGACAGACTGACAGCAGGCGAGAGGGCGAAGGAGCTGGGGGAGAAGGAAGGAAGGGATTCGTCGGAGTAACTTTCCAGAAAAACAGTCAACGTGTAGCAGGAGTGACTCCAAGAGGGGAAAAAAAGTTCAGTTACCACGTCGAACGAGAGGACTCGCAAAGTATTTTTCAAATGGGCTCGGCTTTTCCTGTGCCTGTTTAAAACATTAAAATCGTGCAGCAAAAGAGGCTGCGTGCGCTGGTCCCTCCCTCCCCCACCCGGGCCAGAGACGTCATGGGAGGGAGGTATAAAATTTCAGCAGAGAGAAATAGAGAAAGTAGTGTGTGTGCATGTGTGTGTGAGAGAGGGAGAGGGAGCGAGGGAGAGAGAGAGGGAGAGGGAGAAGCAGCAGGGAGAGGAAGGGAGGGAAGCCGAAAGCCAAGGCCAAGGGAGTGAGCAAGAAGAGGGGAGAGATAGGGGAAGAAGCCTGAGAAAGAAGGAATAACAGCTTTCCGGAGCAGGCGTGCAGTGAACTGGCTTCTATTTTCTCTTTCTTTTCCTTTTTATTTTTTAAAGAGAAGCAGGGAACAGAAGCAATGGCCGAGGGAGAAGACGAGTCGAGGTGCTGGTGACCCTGGGCGTCCAAGTGGATTCTTGTTCCTGGGGCCTGTTCTCCCTGCCTTCCAATTGCACATACCCCCACTTCCCAGCCACTGAAGAGGAGAGGCAGCGTGAACAAAGTCATTTAGAAAGCCCCTGAGGGAGTGTAAACAAAAGAGAAAGCATGAATGGTGTGCCCGAGAGACAAGTGTGCCCTGTTGCCCACAGCTTGAGCTGGGCCAGCCCGGCCCGGCCCTGCCTCTCCCCACCTACTCACTGGTGATCTGACTTTTTTTTTTTAAACAATTTTTTCCCCTTTTCTTTTCCATTCTCTTTTCTTCTCCTCCTTCAGGGCAAGGCAAGGATTTTGATTTTGGGACCCAGCCATGGTCCTTCTGCTCCTTCTTTAAAATACCCACTTTCTCCCCATCGCCAAGCGGCATTTGGCAATATCAGATATCCGCTCTCTTTATTTTTACCTAAGGAAAAACTCCAGCTCCCTTCCCACTCCCAGCTGCCTCGCCACCCCTCCCAGCCCTCTGCTTGCCCTCCACCTGGCCTGCTGGGAGTCAGAGCCCAGCAGAACCTGTTTAGACACATGGAGAAGAAACCCAGAGCTACAAGGCACACAGTCGGCTTCTTCGCGCTCAGGGTTGCCAGCGCTTCCTGGAAGTCCTGAAGCTCTCGCAGTGCAGTGAGTTCATGCACCTTCTTGCCAAGCCTCAGTCTTCGGGATCTAGGGAGGCCGCCTGGTTTTCCTCCCTCCTGCACGACTGCTGGGGTCTCCTCCTCGCCGGGCCTCGCAGCCCCCCCGGCCTCTCTCCCCAGCTTGCGCATGAAGATGCACTTGCACAGGGCTCTGGTGGTCCTGGCCCTGCTGAACTTTGCCACGGTCAGCTTCTCTCTGTCCACTTGCACCACCTTGGACTTTGGCCACATCAAGAAGAAGAGGGTGGAAGCCATCAGGGGACAGATCTTGAGCAAGCTCAGGCTCACCAGTCCCCCCGAGCCGTCGGTGATGACCCACGTCCCCTACCAGGTCCTGGCCCTTTACAACAGCACCCGGGAGCTGCTGGAGGAGCTGCAGGGGGAGAGGGAGGACAGCTGCACTCAGGAAAACACCGAGTCGGAGTATTATGCCAAAGAAATCCACAAATTCGACATGATCCAGGGGCTTGCGGAGCACAGTAAGTCCACATTCTCGCTGGGGTGTCTGCTCTGGAGGGTCCAGGGGGAGGGGAGGGGGCTAGTGATGGCCTCACAGCAGGGTGCCCCGGGTCCACCCACGCCAGCGCTCCGGAGGTGTGATGCACAGCAGGGCCGGGTGGGTGGCTGGGGAGGGAGACAGAGCCATTCTGGTAAGAGCCGGGGGCTTTTGGGAGGCCAGGAGCCCCGGAGTTGAGTGGCTTGCTGAACTCACATCACATCCTCCACTGATTTTACTTTGGAATTACACTGTGCTGTCCTGTTAGCATAGGTGCTCGGGCCCATGTGCCAGCATAGGTGACTGCGAGCATCCGGAAGGCACAGAGGGACAGGGCCAGCTCTCTTGAAAGCCCTTATGGCTCCCTGAGGGCTTCTCCCTTGTTTTCGCGACTCATCATGACACGTCTTTGGTTTAGTTTTTCCAGTGCTTGGGAAGAAGAGTATACTTGCCCCAGGTTATGTCTGTCAAGCTTTTTGAAGCCCAGGCAAGAGACAACTTCTTGCTGTCTAGGCCCTTTGGTCTATGCCACACACGTGACCCACGTGAGCCGCGAGCGTGGTTGAAAGGCATGCACCTACATTCACACGTACAAGTGCTTCAGGGCGATGTGCAGCCTGGCTTTGTACAGTAGACAGATTCATGGGCTCAAAATGGGCGTCTTCCAGGCCTGTGGACACGGGGAAGGCAGGGTTGTGGCTCTGGACGTGTACATGATTGCTGGCCGCCCTTTTGTGTCTGCGTGTCATGGGAAGAGTGGGTGGGAGGTGTGGCTGTGGGTGCAGAGAGGACATGTGTCTGGGAGTGTGTCCTCCCAGGAGGCTCCCTGTGCTGGGAGGCCTCTGGGTGAGATGTCTGTGTGTGTGTGTGTGTGTGTGTGTGTGTGTTTGTACACGTGTGGAAGTCATATGTGTTTACTGAATGGACATTTAAAAAGCCTCAATACGAGAGAGAGAGGTTTGGCAGATGTTGAGAAACTGACAGCCCGAGAGGGAGGAATGTGAGCCGCTCTGGGCCAGGGACCCTGGGAGCAGCTCTGTTTGCTTTTCCTACCAGCAGGTGTCCTCACCGCCCGGACTACCTCTTCCCGGCCCACCTGGCAGTGGGGAGTGGGAGCCAGAGGGAGCAGGCAGGGTGGGGGTGGGGGGGTCAGTGGGGGAACTGCGGGGGTTGAAAGGAACCTGGCTGCAGGGAAGGAAGAGGAGTAGGTGGCTGGTGGGTGGAGCAGCTCCAGCTGAAGGTGCAAAAGGCCCTACTGGGAGCTGGCCCGTGCCAGGTCCGGGAGCCTGTGGTTACTGGCGAGGGGTTCCCACTCCCCGTTTCCTGTGGCCGCCTGGAGAGCCTTGCCTTAGGATGTGGCTACCGTGTGGGGCAGAGCCGGAGTAAGAGGCAGAGCGAGTGCACCCTGCCCCGGATCCCGCAGTGGGTCTGGCTCCGGGTCTGCCAGGCGCCCACAGTTCCCAGAGGCACCAGCACCTGCATCGCTGAACCCCCAACAACCCGGCAACCACCAAGTCAGGAGATAGTGGCCACAAAGAGGAAAAACTGAGGCCTGCAAGAGAGGACTGAAGAGAGCCCAGAGTGAGAGAGAAGGGCTCGGACCTCACGATCCGGGTCAGGAGGTGGAGTCCCAGGGAGGAGGGATGCTGAGTCACAGGGGCCCATCCAGCCTGGAATCCGGAGCTGAGAATGAATGGGCCAGGTGCATGCGAGGGCACACGGGTGCCAGTGCACGTGGGTTTTGGACAGAGACTGAGGACACGAGTAGTGAGCAGTCTTGGGGAGAGCCAGGGCAAGGGCACACAGATGCTGGGCGGCTCGGCCCGCAGCACCAGGACCCTAGCAGGCAGGGGTGGCCCTTGGGCCACAGAACCTGGCCAGGCTGGGAGCAAGCTGGGCACAGGGAGCAAGATACTATTTGGGATGTTGTGGCAGAACCAGGGCCCAGTGGGACACAGGCGATGCCATGGAGGCTTGCAGGTGCAAACAGGAAGCAAGCCCAGACTCTCTGCAGCTGTTGGAGGTGACACAGAGGCTGAGCAGACGCGGCTTGGGCCCGCCCTGCAGCTGGTCAGGTGCTGAGCCAGCCCTGGAGAGGCAGGCGCAGAGGACACACTAATTATAATGAAGGAAGCGGGCAGATGCTGAGAAGGAGCAGAAAGCCACCCTCAGAGGCTTGGGGTGAGGGAAGCCTGTCCTGAGCCCGAGAGGGCTGTGTCCTGGGGTGGCGCTGGGTCCGTGGGGGGACACCAGCAGGGTCTGGGTGCCAGAGCTTCTGGGGGAAGTGATGAGATCATATTCGCTTCCGCATTTCATCATTCCCAGCCTGCTCCTGCACCCAGGCGCCACGGTGAGCCGAGAGAAGAGGGCCCATCTTCTGTCCCTGCCCTGTCAGATAGGAGCCCCGATTGTCTGCCTTATAGATAAGGACACAGAAGCATGCATCAGTTAAGTAATGTGCCTCAAAGAGCAGGGGCCCTAACCTAGATGTTCTGCCTGCAGAATGCGTGCTGTTAGGCACTAACACCAGTGTGTAAAATAAACATTTAAGTCCCGCCTTTAACCCTAAGGATCCAATAGCACTTTGATTTACAACAAAAACTTTCACTTTGATATGTGAACAAATCACATCAGACCAAGCGGGAGAGGGCAGGAGATACTTGTAGGCCTGATGGCAGACGGCACAGGGACAACTGGGCATGCTCTGTCTTAGCTCTGCCTATTGTTACGGCCAGGGGATTGTGACCATCACAGATGTGCTCCCAAATTCAGCGGAAGGGGTTTCTTTATCTAATGAAGAGCCTCAGGCCGGTTTAAGCAACCACACCAGATGAAATTAGGCAGGTCACCTCTCTGAGCCTCAGTTTTCTCATCTGTAAAGGCAGAGATCATCTCTAAGCTCTCTCGCAGCTGAAGCAATTTTAGGCATACATCTGGGATGATTCAACAGGCTCAGCAGTGAAGGCAGGACTCTGGAAATCCTTTTATAATTCACCAGGAGTTGGCTATGCAGAGGCTCTCTCTGACCCACATGGTGGCGAAAGACATGGGCTTTTCCATTCCTTTGTCATCCTTGTTATCAAGATATCACCAGCGTAGGTGTTGTTTTAACTTCTGGCTTGTAATTATCTGTGCCTGGCGGGAGACTCTTGTTTTCATCTAAGAGCGGCTCTAAGACAACGGGCAAACACAGAGTTCCTGAGCAAAGAGAAAACTTGATATTTTGGCCTTTCTTTCCTGGATGCTGCCTTCGGATTTGGATTTTTCATTCTGAAAATTGAAAGACATTTTGTACCGCACGATCTCATTTGTTCTAAGGGCCAGTGAGTGCCCTCTGCACGCTGGGTCAGTATTTCTTGAAGAACGGTCCAGGGGCTACATACGTGTAAAAAATGTGGATTCCCAGGCCCAACCCCACCCTTACAGAATCAGAATCTGGGGGTGGGGTCCTGGGGAATCTGTATTTCCAAAAAGCACCCCATTAGACTCAGTGAACTAGCGCAGACCTCTCCTTAAGGGGCTGTAAACACAAGTGCCCATTGAGGCCAGGCAGCTAATATGAAAGATCTGGAAGAAAAGCCTCAGCACCAGCACCATGACACTTGGCCTCACACCACAGGACACTTGGCCTCAGGGTCGAGGAGAGAAGAGGGTGCGTGGGAGGCTGATGGGGTGGGGGGAGCCAGAAGCTTCCCCACCCTGTTAAAAGAGGGCACCCCCCTGCTCTGTTCCTGCTGATTTCTGCATTTAGGAAGGTGGGTCCAGCCTGACTAGACCTTGCCGCTACCCGGAAGAGCGGAAACTCTGGGTCTTTTTGTGACATTTCCCAACGTGTAACATGGGCCTAAAATGTTGATGGGCTTCTAATTCTGTTTTTTTTTTTTAATGATGCATTGGCCCATCTGCACATCTAATACATTTCAAGGTTAACCCGTTTAATGGCTAAATCATTGGAGGGGGGTTTCTCAAACTTCCAGAACATCTGGAAGCCATGGTACCCTTTGCAGAGCACTATAAACTGTGGTTCTCAACTCTGGCTACACATCAGAATCATCTGGAGATCTTAAAAAAAAAAAAAAAAGGAAAGAAAGAAAGAAGAAAGCTCTGGACCCACCCACTCCAAGGTAGTCAGCATCTCTGGGGAGTAGGGCCAGGCATCCTGTGTTTCCAAGGCCCTCCCGGGGATTCTAACATGTAGCCAGAGTGAAGAAGTGTGCCCGCGCTGATACCTGCATGCCGTCACTGGGACCCACATGGTCTTACATGCAGAAATGATGTACGTAAGCAAAGGCACATCTAGGAGCCCTGGTGTCTGAAAACACTTTCAAAGTCATGGTCCAAACACGGTCAGCTGTTTCCACGTTTTTTTTCTGTGAAAACTCTACATGAATATTCTTTGCTTGTTTTTCTCTCCCCATAGCAAACAAAGGAAAAAAGGGTCTCCGCCAATGTATGTATTTCTTGCGCAGTGGAAAAAGTTGGTCATAATGTAATTTGAAAGGTGGATCCTGTAGTCTAGCTCCCAGGAACCCCGGCATCCTGCAGACACATGGCTTACCCAGAGAACTGAGTGTGGCTTGGCTGTGGCTTAGGCCTCAGTTGGCGCTCCGGGCCACTTCAGGGACGCCTTTGTTTTGTTGGTAAAACTGTGCCTCCACTAGATATCTCTGGGCCCCCCAACTTCCAGAGTCCCCGCTTCAATGAAAGAGGTGTGGCCCAAAGACCTGGGTTTAAATACCACCTGTGCTACCCACTAACTTTCCTGACATTCAGTTTTCTCATTTGTAATTTTTTTTTTATTTTAGAGAGAGAGAGTGTGTGCACAGGGAAGGGGCAGAGAGAGAGGGGGACAGAGGACAGAGGATCCAAAGTGGGCTCTGCACCAACAGCAGTGAGCCCGATGTGGGGCCCAAACTCATGAACCGTGAGCTGAAGTCAGATGCTCCACTGACTGAGCCACCCAGGCGCCCCTCTCATTTGTGAAATGGTCAATTTGACTTCTCATTCTCCTCGAGGATTGTTAGGGGGTCGGGATGAGTTAATAAGAGCTCTCTGCAACATACGGTGGTGTTATCGTAGTTGGATTACAATCTCCTTCCACAAGTTATTTAAAACATCATTATTATTCAGTGGATTTAATTGCCAAGATTGTATTTACATGTTCTTTTCTCTCCCAGGCAGTTCTTTTGTAATCACTAACGATTCTGTCTGAGCTTTACTGATAGTGTCAATTTACTGGTGTCAGCCAAGGCCAAGACTGCCCTGGACATCAGTTTCTTCACATGAGGAGGGTTGCCCCCCTCAGTGTCCCTTCTACCTCTGCTAGAAACCTGTAGATCCCAGTGATAAAAAATGACACTTCCTACCTCCTTCTCGAAATCTCCTTGAAGTTCTCACCAAGAGGACTCCATCTTAGGGAACAGATATCTGATTGACGGACTGGAAGAAACACAGGAGGGATGGTTACAAGGGTGTCCTGAAGACCCTCTTAGCTCATCGCTGCCCTCATGTCCTGGCTTCTTACTGTCTTGACCACGCTCTGACTCTCCTCACCGGCACATGCCATCTTCTGTTCCATCTTCCTTTCCACAGCAGTGTGTATATCTCATGCACATACACTCTATGCCCCCTTTCAGCAGCTGCTGGAGGTGCTCTTTATAACTGAAGCCACACCAAAGACAGCTCCTTCAAGAACCAAGTGTACCACTAACCTAAGAGGGTTGCCAGTCTAAGGAACTTGCCCATGTCCAGAGGGTTCCAAACTGGCAAACTTACAAATTAAATTGCTCACACTGATGCCTCTTTCTGGTTCTATCTGAAATAGCTTAGGGAATAGTTGGCAGTATTTGTCCTTTCAAAGCCAGTTATTAATCAGGGCTTCATTAGCCGGCATTCACACATTTGTTTTCCTAACATCTGTTCCATTAATTTTCTAAGAACCAGTGTCAGGCCCACCAGATGGCAATTTCCAGAAACATTCACTCATCCTTTCCTAAAGATCAGTAGCGCATTTGCTTGTTTCCAAGGCTCTGATCCTTCCCGCCTTGTCCGTGACTTCCTATACCACCCCTCGGGGTGATTATGAGCTCATTCCAGCCATGTCCATTATGTGTGGAATCTGGGTCTATGAGCTTGAATTTCAAGTTCTGGCTATTATTACCATTTGTGTAGAAACTTTTTCTCTGGGTGTTAATGCTGCTCAGACCTTGAGGGTATAAAGCGCACAGGAGAAAAGGCAAGATCTTTCTTTTCATCTGGCTCGGACGTGTGGGAAAAGCGCATCTGCTGCCTTGTGTCTTGTGGACAGGGCTGAAGAAGCCAGCAGGGTGACAGAGGCTGCCATAGCATGTGCCGTCAAGGACAGAAATCCATAGAAAAGAGTCAATGGGGACGGCCCAGTTCTGTCTGAAGAAACATCTGTGGGTCTGCCAGGCTTGAGATGTGGCTTTGTGCATACCGATGCTGCCTCATTGGGTCTGAAACACAGTGTTAATTAAGTCACCGCACTGCTCTAACACCTTCCATGGCTCCCTACTGCTAAGGGGATAAAATCCAGTCTCCCCAGCCTGCTGTGCTGACCCGGTCTTGCGGGCCCTCACTTGGCTACTTCAGGTCCTCTTACTTGCATCTCCTCCCCTCCCTTTTGTGTTCCCAGAAGTCCTTCCATGGAAGATCCTTCCTCCTCATCCTCAAACAGGGCCCAGATCAAGTGGTTCCTGCTGTCTCCCTACTCTGGTCCCTTTGCAGCACCTCCAAAGGCCCTGGACACTTTCCCGTTGGTCCCATTATTTGGGCTCTTGTATTGAGATGCTGCCCCAGATATGAATCTGCTTGAAGGCAGGGGCACATCTGTTCATCTTCGCTTCCTACTGTCAGCACTGTGCTTGGCACATAGCATGTGCTCAGTACACGGGTAATGAATGAATGAACGCCCAAAGGAATGAACATATGAATGGGGCAAGTAGATGTGACGGTTAAACTGTCGGGGCGGGGAGGGGGATTGCTGAGATCTTTTGAGGATGTGTGGTTCAAAAAGAGTAGGAAGGAGGCTGTAGAGCCTGCCAGAGTTGGGATGTGTTGTCTGCCAGTTGTCGAGGCCGTGGGAAGAGGGGTGATTGCCTTTGACCGGCCAGTCATTAGTGCTGGTCCCAGGGCTCCCAGGGCTCCTTGCTCTTGCCATAGGCCTTCACCAAGATCTTCCTCCCATCTCCACCTTCAGGCCTGGGGCCTCCAGCCTCTAGTGAGGTCATGGGTGGGACCTTGGCCACTTGGCCAGTGTCTGTGGGCAGCATACCGCTCGTGGGGGTCTCACTCACACACTTACTGCACCTCTCCCGCTCGCTTGATCTCCTAGATGAGCTGGCCGTCTGCCCCAAAGGAATCACCTCCAAGGTGTTCCGCTTCAACGTGTCCTCGGTGGAGAAAAATGGAACCAACCTGTTCCGAGCGGAATTCCGGGTCTTGCGGGTGCCCAACCCCAGCTCCAAGCGCAGCGAGCAGAGGATCGAGCTCTTCCAGGTGAGCCCCTCCCAGAACAGAAGACCCACAGACTGGAAAGCCAGCCCCCGTGCCATTGAGACCTCTGCTCTGTGCACAGTTGGGCAGGTCTGGGTGTGAATCCTACCTTCTTGGAGCCTTGCCTTCTGTGGATGTCTGTGGTTGAGAGGATTAAGCACTGACTAAGGGTTTGAAGGAGCGTTCAGGAAGTTTTTAGTTTCCTGTTGCTGCCTCCCGTGTCCTCCTGTGCTGTGACAGGTACAGCGGTCCCTGTGCTGGCCTGGGCTACTTATTCCTTTCTCTTGCTTCTACTAGATACTCCGGCCTGATGAGCACATCGCCAAACAGCGCTACATCGGTGGCAAAAATCTGCCCACGCGGGGCACTGCCGAGTGGCTGTCTTTTGACGTCACTGACACTGTGAGGGAATGGCTTTTACGAAGAGGTAGGTTGATCTCTCAATCTGAGCATTTGGGAAGGACCCTCAGGTCCCTTGGTCTCTCACGAAATAGAAGGAAGAGGACAAAACTAGAGGAGTCACAGATCTGGGTTCAAAGGCTTGCTTTGCCATCGATTCACTGTGTTCGTCATCCGTTCACCCCACCAGTACTTATGAAAATGCCCGCTCAGCCAGGTCCTGGGGGTGCGGTCATGAACAAGACCGGTGAGGTCTGTATCCCATGGGGCTTCTTTTCTGGTAGGAGAGACACATACCAAACAAGGAAACATATTGATGAATAGGATCCTCAATGATGAGTACCATGAAAACTAGAGGACACTGTGGGAATGGCAGGGAGTAATGGAGTCTGACTTGAGATGTCAGGGAGAAGGAGTGTGTGCATGGAGACCCGAGCCATGAGAAGGTTGGAATAAAGATATGCTGGGCAAGGGAGGTAGTGAGGCCCCCAGGCAGGAGCAGGCTTGATTTGTTCTGGCAGCACATAGACCGATGTGGCTGGAACAGAGTGAGCTGGGGGGCAAGAGGGAGCTGGAGCCATGTACTTTAGGACCTGTAAGACCATGGTCAGGTTTTAGGACTCTGGAGTATTACAAGCAGGGCTGGGATGAGGAGTGAGGTGATGTGATTTATGCCTTTAAAAGGCCCCTCTGGTTGCCATGAAGTCAAAGGAAGGAGCAGGCAAACCAGTTAGGTGGGGTGCCCAGGTGACTCAGTTGAGCATCTGACTTCGGCTCAGGTCATGATCTCATGGTTCAAGCCCCGCATCGGGCTTGTTGCTGTCAGCTCAGAGCCCACTTCAGATCCTCTGTCTCCCTCTCTCTCTGCCCCTCCCCTCTGCATACACTCTCTCTCAAAAATAATAAACAAAACCCATTTAGGGGTCATTGCAGCAGCCCAGATGACCGCAAAAAGGGCTTTGGCTAGGGCGGTAGCCGTGGGTGTGGAGATGATGGAGATTTGTTGTATATTTTGGACAGGCTGGTGAGGCACGGGGTGTGTGCATAAGAGGAGTCTAGGATGGCTTCTCAGAGCGTGGACAGAGTACGCAGGTGGTCACACTTACTGACACGGGAAAGACTGGGAGAAGAGCAGATACAGGGGCGGGCTCTGCTGGGGCCAGTTAATTTCGGAAAGCTTGGTGGTTATCCAAGGACAGCTGTCCAATTGGTGTATCGAACTTCATACATCCCAAATATCTTACCCGCTTACTGTGTTTCCTCACCTTGAGCATCAGGTAGTGCTTCCTTCCCTCCTTGCCTCAGGGGGCTGTGTTAAGGATACAGTGCATTTAAGATTGCTTCATGGCTTTTAGCCTGTTACAGAAGACTGAGCTTTTATTAGGTCAGATCAAGAAACCTGAGGCCCAGAGAGATTATGTGACTTGACCAGGATTGTCCAGCCTAGATCAGAACCGGAGTCTCCTGACTGGCGGTCTCAGCGCCTCGTAACATCACGCTGTGTGGTTTCTCCCCTTCTCTACCTGGTGTTTCTGTCTGGATGGTACTCCGTGGGGACAGGTGCTCGTGGGGGCAGATGCCCACAGTGGGCTCGTCTGTTCATTCTCCCCCTCTTGCCAAGAGTTTTCTTCTGTCATCCACTGCCACAGAGGCACAGTCCATCCATATCCTGATGCCCAGAGTCCCCGGGGCTGGTGGGCCCTTTCTTGTCCTTGATGTTTTGGGAAACCACGGGTTAAGGCACTAAGGCTTGGCCTACATAATGTTTTAAATTAAATAACGGTTTGAAAAAAAAAATGAAAAAAAAAATAAATTAAATAACGGTCAACAGTTTCTGTTTTTAAAGTCAGGAGATTTCACATAAAACCTGGACTTCTGGATTTTCTAGAAAAATTGGAAGATTTCCTGGTAATGATCTGTGGCAGATGAGTAGTGGCCACCGCTTGAGGTGGGGCACGCATTCTTCACATCCCCGTAGGCCCTCCCAGTCCCCGCTGTCCCCCCAGAGTGAGGCTGGCAGTCCCCACTAAGCATGATATGCTGGCTAGCTTTGCTCACTTATGTAACCTGCCTGGGCCCTGTAAGCGTCTGATTTTGCAAGTTCTCATCGAAGGGGCATTACCTGATGGCCGAGCTGGCTAATCATGGGCTAGGGGTCCTGCCTCACCTCCAGGGGTACCTGCGAATTCCATCCCATCTCCCCTGCTGAGCACAAGGCAGAAGCCTTAGAGCACCCGCAGGACTGGGATCTTCTCTTCGGTTGGAGATTCTGACTCAGACAGCACTCCACCTAGAGCCTGACATGGCTGCAGAAAGGAGAGGCCGGGGAAATTAATCTCTTAGCTTCCCTGTCTGATTTTGATCAGCTCCACCTGGATTTCTTTGAAGCCCTGGGCACTTGAAGGAGTTCTTATTTTCCCAGCTGCCGAGCTCAATGAGAAGTTTGCGCGGAGAATGATTTCCATCTTCCTTGAGACATCAAAAAGATAATTTCGTAATAAAACCTGTGGGTCCCCCACCCACCATCCTCACTGCTGCCAATTCTGAGGTTAGTTCTTCATTGGAACCTCCAGTTCCCACTTAGATGCTTCCCGCCCCTCGTACAGGCGAATCACACACAGACCTTTACTTATGCAGAGCTCAGGAGTCTTTTCAGAGTTCGTGGCCCTGAACAAGGCAGCAGATGGACTCCAAATGGAACAGTTGGTGGTGTGGACTGATGAGGAAGCTGAGTCACATAGATGGTCTTGTAGTCATTCAGCAAACAGCTGAGAGCCTACTGTGCACCAGCTTCCCAGGCTGCCTTCTGGGTCCCAGAGCTGGCTGGAGCCCTATCCAGAGGTAGGAGCCCGGGTCCTCATATCCTTGTGCTATTTATTGCTCCACATAGTCTTCAGTTTCTCCGTGCGCTGAGTCAGGCATCCCCTAGCGGGCCAGTCAGGGAGCACAGCCGGCATCATAGCTCAGGACTTGGGTGGGGGCGATGCTGGGAAAACACAGCATCTTCCTTTGGTAGTCTCTGTAGCTCCACTTTTTGGCCCTCCTTGTCTCTAACAATTCGGATGGCTCCGGCATCAGGGGTTTGAATCTTGGCTCTACTCTTACTGGTTGGGTACCTTGGGCAAGCCACTTAATTTCTCTGTGCCTCAGGGTCCTCATCTATGTAATGGGGAATGGTGGTAATAGTAGTCTCTACTTTGTAGGATTATTGTAAAGATTGAATGAGTTAATACATGTAAAGTCTTAAAGTGGTGCTTGATAGAGAATGCTCAACAAAAGCTGCTGATTGTTATCATCACTCTGAGTTTTCTACCTAGACAGAGCCCGTTGGCCAAGCCAGGCCACCATCTTACATTACCATCTATCCCCTAACTCTAACTATCCCCAACACATCTGTCTGTGCCTTGACTTTCTAATTCACAGCATCACAGAACTTGCCCACTCCAGGTGTCTCTTGACCTATCTTGGGCCCTTCTGAGTACAGGAAATACATTCTGTAGCCCATGTCCACCTCCCTGGCTCCTTCCTTTAATGGCCTTAAACCAGGAAGAAAACACTCCTATAGCTCTGTCTCTATTCACTTGTTCTCTGGCTGGGCCTCAGCTTCCTTGTTATATTAGTCCCATTCCTCCCCACCAGAGCTAACCTTCTGGAACAGAAGTCTTCAAGCTTAGCAAGGGTCAGTATGTCCTAGAGGCTGCCCTGGCTTGGAGCAGAACGGATGAGACTAGGTTCCGGACTTTGCAGAAAAAGGGATCCAGGCCTGCCTAACAGTGACCAGAACCTCTGAACTTGGGCCATTCTGCGCATGGGAAAGGTGTTGAGCTGGCTTGGGCTCTGAGGTTTTCCCTGATGACACCAGGTATCGGGAAGACCCCAGGTTGGTCCCAAGGCTGGATGCTCACACAGAACTGGGGCAGCTTGGGACACAGTAAATCAATCAGCTTGCTCAGATGCTGACCCTGAATGCAGAAAGGTCCATTCCCTATGATCTTTCCCACACCACAGCTTTCTGCTGCCTGCAGGTCAACAGAACTTCCCTAATTGAATCTTACCCACCAGAACTGACATGACACTAATCCTTCCTGGTTTCTCTCTACAGGACTCCTGGATCCAGTTCAAAAGTTTCTCTTCTTATTCTTCCTTTTTCCTCTCCACTTTACTCAACCCCTTTTACTCATTTCCTTGCTTCCCTTGAGTAACCAAAACACCTTGATCCCACAACTAATAGGAGGAAGGGCTGGAGCTGGTGGTCTTACATTGAGTTTCAGTCCTCAAACCCTGGCACCTCTAGATTTCCTCCTGCCAGTTCTCTCCGAGCTCATGTCATCTGGGCCCTTGTCCTTGGCCGTTGTCCATCTTCTGTGGCCTGTGCTCTGATTTCACAATTGTCTTCCTGAGACGTTCGTTTTCCCCCAGTGAGCCATCCACATCTCCAGCTTTGCCGTTAAGCGAACAAGGATTCCCAGAGAAGACACTTCCAAGTAACTTTGACCTAATTGTGTCCTTATCCCTTCAGGAAAATATGGCCAAGGGTAACTGTGATTTTCATCTTATCTTCTCTGGAATCTACCCATCCATTTACACTCACAGTCATGGTCCTGGTAGAAGTGCTGGCATCTTCTACCTAGACTGACACCACTGCTTGTTTGCAGGTGACCTTACCTCCAATGTTGGTTTCTGTCTTCTAATCCTATGGCCCAGACTGTGCCATCTTCCTCCCGTTTGGTGAACTTTGTGGCCTTTTGAATCACTGCCTCTCTGCTCTAAAGTTCTTCAGTGAGCCCCTTTCCCTGACCTCTCCCCATCCCCCTGCCTCTTACTTTATGCTTCCTCAGCAAGCGGGCTCGAATGTCTCCTCTCCCAAGAAACACTGAGGGAGCGTGATGGCTGTTTTTCTTCCTTCTTGTGTCCTCATTCTTTTTCCCCCAAGGAGGTGGGTGACAATTTTCCCCACTACTATCCTCTGAAAATAGATGACCATGAACATTCTCCTTCATAATGCCTGTTAATTTATGCCTTTATTTGGTTGTTCATGACATAACAGAAACATGTGCAATATGGCAACCCATGTGTGGAGGTCCACTGTGGCTTTGGTGGCACTTTCTGTCCTCGGTGACCCTCAGTATTGCTCAGCTCCCATGACTCCCTGTGAGAGCAGAGGCCTGGCCCATGTGCACGGGGATAGGTACACTTCTGCATCATGTAAAGAATTTGCTCACTGACTGTGTCTTATTTTGCAGAGTCCAACTTAGGTCTGGAAATCAGCATTCACTGTCCATGTCACACCTTTCAGCCCAATGGAGACATCTTGGAAAACATTCATGAGGTGATGGAAATCAAATTCAAAGGTAACAAAACAGATGTGTATAGTGTGTGTGGGGGGACGGTTGATGAGGTGGAATAGAACAGGAGACCTCTACCAAGTCCCAAGAAAAGTAACCAAGCTCCCTTGCAGAGATGGCCAACTATTTTGAACTTGAGTAATTCTGCTTTGCCCCAAAGGCAGTGGGTGTGACAGAAGATGTTAGCATCTGGAAGACAGTATTATGTTGGGAAGAGGGGTTCAGTCATGGAGGCCAATGGGTCCACCTCTCTGAGCTCCGTCAGTAAAATGGAGATGGGGATACTTCTTTCTTAGGGTTATCACACAAATTAAACGAGATAACAAATGTAAAACCCAGTACCACAAACACTCAACAAATCGTTATTGTCTTTCCCTTCCCTAAAAGAAATAAACTGTGGTGATCTGACTACTGAACTTTCCAGATGTTACAGAGGCACCCTGATTCCCACCCAGGAGTCATCTGGGTGTGAATGATTGCTTTGGGGCTCAGGGTGTTTGTATTGAGATAGGGAAATAGTTGAGAGTCTTTTCTAGTCTTCCAACATGTTTCTAAAGCGTTCAGTCTCTGGACAATCTCTGGATGTCAGAGAAGGTCTCTTTTCCTTTCATTGTCCCATTTTGGATAATTGAGGCTCTCCCGAAGCCAGGTGGTTCCTCAAGATCAAACCAACCAAGCCAGAGCCTGGGGTCAGAGTCTTGTCTGGGAAAAGGTACAGGCCTCTCTTGGCGCGCAGCCCTGGACTCTTACCCTTTATGGACTCTATTTCAGAATCTACTCTTTTAATTTTTTATTTTTTTGGGGAGAGTGAGCGAGCAGGGGAGAGAGGGAGAGAGAGGGAATCCTAAGTAGGCTCCATGCTCAGCACAGAGCCTGATGCAGGGCTTGATCTCATGACTGAGATCATGACCTGAGCTGAAACACGAGTTGGACTTTTAACTGACTGAGCTGTCCATGAGCCGCAGAAAAGGAAATTTTATTTTTTATTAAAAATATTTTTAAAAATAATTTACTGTCAAGTCAGCTAACATAAAGTGTGTACAGTGTGCTCTGGGCTTCAGGAATAGATTCCCATGATTCATCACTTACATACGACACCCAGTGCTCATCTCAACAAGTGCCCTCCTCAATGTCCGTCACCTATTTCCCCCTCTCCCCCACCCTCCTATCAACCTTCAGTTTGTTCTCTGTATTTAAGAGTCTCTTATGGTTTGCCTCCCTCTCTATTTGAAACTATTTTTCTCCCTTCCCCATGGTCTTCTGTTGAGTTTCTTAAATTCCACATATGAGTGAAAAGATATATCTGTCTTTCTTTGACTGACTTACTTCACTTTGCACAACACCCTTGAGTTCCATCCACGTTGCTACAAATAGCCAGGTTTCATTCTTTCTCATTACCAAGGAGTATTCCATTGTACATATACACCATATCTTCTTGATTCATTCATCAATTGATGGACATTGGGGTTTTTCCATAACTTGGCTATTGTTGAAAGTGCTGCTATAAACATTGGGGTGCATGTGCCCCTATGCATCAGCACTCCTGTATCCTTTGGATAAATACCTAGTAGTGCAATTGCTGGGTTGTAGGATAATTCTATTTTTAATTTTTTTGTGGAACCTCCACACTGTTTTCCGGAGTGGCTGCACCAGTTTGCACTCCCACCAGCTGTGCAAGAGGGTTCCTGTTTCTCCATATCCTCGCCAACATTAATTTTAGCCACTCTGACCGGTGTGAGGTGGTATCTCAATGTGGAGAAAAGGGAATTTTAGATCCAGGCCTCCCATTCTTCTTACAGTCCTAGAGCCCCTTCGTGGGGTCCAGGTCCCTTCCGTCACTGTGTAAATTAAGCTTCTTGTGTTCCTGTCCTTGCTGGAGATGGACAGCAGCTGGCAGCTGCCTGTCACAAAATAGATCTTTTAGTCGAAAGTCTCTAATTCAGTCTTCAATCTTCTCCTTTTTAGATGAAATAGCAAGTACCCCCCACCGAGTTTATTTGCTAATCTGTGTATCATATACCTCATTATCTCACCTGAGCATTATAGTGAAAACACTTTGAAACTACTAGTGCACATGCATGTTAACGATGACTCAGTCTCATTCCTCTGGCTCCCATTCAAGCTACCTTAAACTGAGACACCTGACATTATGGGTAGGACTTCTGTGCTATCTTGTCCAATTCAAATCATAAAAGGAAACTCACACCCCAAGATTCTAAGTCTCAGAATCTACACCGACAGCGCAAAGCAATGTGTTAGATCACTGCCTGGGATGCTTCAGGGAAGCTTCCCCAGGAAGCCTCTTGGAAGGGTTCTCTGCATTCTGGAAGATTGATACACAGGAGTCCTGAGGGGATTGAGGGGATCCAAGCACGCATGTGTTGGGAGCTCCTCTGGACCAGTCCCTCCATCCGGTCCCCCCCTCCCTGCAGCTGGGTATCAGCACGGAGCCGTGCTTCTCCCAACGCCGTCCGCAGGACCGCGCTGCCCCTCCTCCTGGGTGGAGATGGGACCGGATGAGGACACAGCCTCCACTCTGCCTTCCTTACACAGGAGACTGTCCTCCTGTTTCCCCTTCTGCAGGCGTGGACAGTGAGGATGATCACGGCCGTGGGGATCTGGGACGCCTCAAGAAGCAGAAGGACCATCACAACCCTCACCTCATCCTCATGATGATTCCCCCGCACCGGCTGGACAACCCGGGCCAGGGCGGGCAGAGGAAGAAGCGGGCCCTGGACACCAACTATTGCTTCCGGTGAGCTCGGGCCCTCTCACGACCCAGAACTCCTGAGATGTCTACTGTGTGGTTGCTGGGGCTCAGTCCCTAGGCTTACAGCACTAACCCAGCAGTCCTGGACGCTATTCACAAGCCCTCTTAGAAATGTCTTCTTGTTTTTCTGGGAGCTCTACTGTTTCTCCACAGCCCAGCTCTGTGAGGGCGGGGTGAGGTAAACGAGGAGGCGTCTTGCTCAGAGGGTTTGGATCGGAGAGACCTGGCTGAAGCCTCTCTGTAGGTGTCCTGCTTAAAGGACTTGTAGGGTGTGTTTGTGCGTGGGGCAGATGAGCGCAGAACTTCCCGTGAAAGAAGTGCTCTGTTCCCTATGAGCTGTGCAAGGATGCTCCTGGGTGAGGGGAAGGAGGGCAGTCTCCACATGCCAGGGGAATATGAGCTGGAGAAATTAATGAACTAATTCAGAAGTGGTACGTAGCCACTGTGAAGAGCGGAAAAGGAAGAGAGCCTCTTTTCTTTATTTAGTTTAGCTCTTCATTTCTAAGGCAGGGGATGATGAAGCACACCCAGCAATTACTGAAAGGTAGAAAATGCCCATGTCCGTGAGAAGGTCCGAAAGAGTGCTGGGAGAATTTGGAGCAAGAAGTTCATCTGTGGATGCAGGAAAGGCTTCAGAAGGGTGTGGAATTTGAGCCTCCATGGATGAGAAAAGGCTTGGATGAGGGCAGAGGAAGGAAGGGGCACGAATGGGTCAATTCAGCTGGAGAGGAAGATGCCTGAATGGAGCTGGGGGAGAATGAATTAGGAAAGTGTTCAGATCTACAACCATGTCTTGTGAGGAGCGGCTGAGTGAACTAGGGCTGTTGAGCTTGAAGGTGTAATAGAAAAGGAGTGAAGTTGCTGCCGAGTGTCAGAAGGCTGGCGTGTGGATTTGTTCCGTGGGGCTCTTAATCAGTTAGGAATGGACACTCTTGGTTGCAAGTAATGGTGGCCTAAACCACAGAGGATTTCTTGTTCACAGGAGGCTCATAGCAGCAGGCTCAGGGCTAGTCTGGTTGCCTAGTTATGCCATCGGGAATACGGGCTTTCTCTCTCTGCAGGCTGCCATGATTACTATGTTGGCTTGCTTTTCATCTTCTTGCTTACAGTTGCAGTGATTGCTGAAGTTCCAGGTAGCTTGTCCAAGCTCAAAACAAGAAAGGGGGAAGAGGCAGAGCCAAGAGCCTTCCTTTCCCATCTGTGACTTTTGTAAAGAATCAAATATTTTTGCCAGAATTTGCCCTTACCCTCTGCATACTTCTCCTTATGTCTGATTGGGCATTGTGGGGTCCCATGCCTACCCCTACCCAGCAAGAGAGGCCAGGAAAATGATGCTCTTGACTCTGTAATGGGAGGTGGCAAGGGAGAAGGGAGGGAGGGATGGCTACTGAATAGTGGGCAGGCTAGATGCCCACTCGGCAAGGGTTACTACCAAATGGATTTCTGTAAGGAACAGAATTGAAATGGCCTGATAATCGCACTTGGGGTAAATCGTGAGTCTAATGGAAGGATACCCTTCGTTTTAATTTGATGGTCTCTGAATTTAGACTGAGCAGTCTCAGGTTGTATGTGAGTAGCGTAAGCTTAGAGTTCATGTCTGGTTGGGTGCACCTCAGGAAGGGGACGATGTACCAACCAACCTCAACAAAGCTGAGCTGAGTAAGAGCATTCAGTGCTTGGTTCTAGGTGAAACAATTTAGGGCGCTGCTTTGATCCATCATGAAAAAGGCGGCAGGGCCCCCTTTGCCTTTTTTCTCTTATGTATCATCTGTTCTGTGCCTTTATGTCCTTGGGACCATGGTCTTCAACACAAGAAAATGCCTTTATGGTATATACTGCTCAATGCACTTGAACCTGGGATTCCATTGATTAGGCCCACCTCTTAGGATGGTGGGTACAAATATGAGGGCCACTGGTGAAGTTTTTTATATGGGTGGTTTCCTTTAGGTTGATTGTCTATAAATGTTTCTCATAGCAATTTGGAGGAGAACTGCTGTGTGCGCCCCCTCTACATTGACTTCCGACAAGATCTGGGCTGGAAATGGGTCCACGAACCTAAGGGCTACTACGCCAACTTCTGCTCAGGCCCCTGCCCCTACCTCCGCAGCGCGGACACAACCCACAGCACGGTACGGGGCGGGGCTCATGCCATGAGGGACGCTGGGGCGGAGTCGACCGGGCCACTTGTTTAACTGAGTTCAGGCAGGACTGAACGTTGAATGAGCGAATGGTGATCTGGGGGCGAGTAGAATCCCTTTGCTGAAGGTGCTGATCTTGGCACCCTGGTCCAACTCTACTCTGTCACATTTTGGCCTTTAAAATTTCTCCCATGGTTTCAACCAGACTTTTTAAAGTTTGTTCTAAAGCTCTTCTACCACTCTGGAAATTAACGGTCACACCCCACTCCATATGTGAGGTGGATGCCCGCGGCTAGCAAGGAGTGTTGGGGAAGAGAGGCTTCTGCCAGCCATTCAAGCACTGGTAATTCCAGCGTCTTGGCTGTAGAAAAGTTATTCTGAAAGATAATGCAAAGCACACAAAAGAAGCTAATATAGAACAATGGGAAGAGAAAGGGAGAAACTAGCTGGCCTTTCTTTCCCTCAAGGGAAATCAAAGATAAAGCAGTAATTTGTAGAACACGTTTCCTGATAGCTCATGATTACTGCATCTGGTCTGGGGTCCCACACTCTGGCGCTTACTAAATGGCCCAAAGCGGTGTTTAGTGAGATCACTCCTCACCAAAGAGACCAGTTGCAGCTAGGAAAACGGATACAGGGAGTGTTTCTTAACAGCAAGGGAAATCTCATTATCCCTTTAAAGTGGCCCGGTAATTGTTCCAAGCTTCAACTCATCACACTCAAACAAGTACAGATGTTCCCCCAAACCGAAAGAGCATCGCTGGCCAGTCTGTCGCTCAGTCTCTGGAGAAGTCCCCAGAACTTGCAGGGGGCTCTAGGCCCAGGGCTTGGCTTGCCAGCCTCTAATGATGTGTCCTCCGCAGGTGCTGGGACTGTACAACACCCTGAACCCTGAAGCCTCTGCCTCGCCTTGCTGTGTGCCCCAGGACTTGGAGCCCCTGACCATCCTGTACTATGTCGGGAGGACCCCCAAGGTGGAACAGCTCTCTAACATGGTGGTCAAGTCCTGTAAGTGTAGCTGAGAGCCCGCCTGTGACAGAGAGAGAGAGGAAAGAGGACTGTCGCTGCCTGACTGCCTGCTCCTCGGGAAACATGAAAGCAACACGCCTCACCTAGAGGCCTGGAGCCCACAACCTTCAGCTCCAGGCAAATGGCTGAGACGGAAGTTCCCTTTTGGGACATTTCTCCTTCTTGCTGGCTCTGAGAATCACTGTGGTAAAAGAAAGTGTGGGTTTGGTTAGGGGAAGGCCCAGCTCTTCGGAATACACAGATCTTCTGTGACCCAGACAGAGGCGGTGGGGACGGAGGAAGAGGGACGGCGAGTCGGCACCTGACACATGGTGTAGCAATGGATCTGGGAAACCCTAGGGAGGAGGAAGGGCAGAGAACGGCCAGGCCAGGGCCAGGCTGGGAGACACTTCTGAGGTCAGATTTGCTCATCGCTGCCCCACACCTGCTCTAGGGGACCTGGATTACATTATACAAGGCAAGCATTTTCCTTCAGGCAGGTTACCTAGACAGGGTCCCAGATCTGTAGCTCAGACTCCCTGGGATTAAGGATGAATCTGCTTTTTACAAATGGCCCTCCCAACATCAGTCAGCACCCAGGGTCGTTACAGGGAGAAAATCCAGGTAATGTCGTTCCTGGGCCGTCAGCTGGTTTGGGCCATATGGACATGCTGAACTCAGAAGCGGAGGGTGGGAACGGACGCTCGTCTGCCCGCCCTCTGGGCCCCTCCTCTCACCTTCTTCCTCGACCGTATTTCCCCTTGGACATCTGGCTAGACACCTTCCAGGTCAGGGTGCACGTATCTGGATCTTGGGTCTGGGCAGTCTTGGGGCATTATGGGTTTCCCTCTACCCCCACCCCCACCCCCGCCCCAAGACCCTGTGTCCATCTGGTGTCCCTGGAAGCAGTTGCTAGAACGGGTGAGGCACGTGGGGAAGCGGCACGTGTGCCACACAACGACTTGGCCCCAGACACATAGACTGAGGTATAAAGACAAATACAAATATTACTCTCAAAATCTTTGTATAAATAAATATTTTTGGGGAATCTTGGATCATTTTCATCTTCTGGAAGATTGTTTCTACAACAGTAAAAGCCTTTTCTAAGGTGTACATCTGACTGGATGAATATCCTTGATCACTTTTTTTTTAATTCCCTGTTCATATCTACTAACCAGAGGGAATGGGAGCCCGCGGCAGGCTGCGCTGCTTAGTGTGAATCCCCCGGACAGTGGTCCACTGCCTTCTGCCATTGGAGGGAGAAGACTCAGCTGTTGTTGGTGCTCCTTTCCTTCTCGTGGATATTTTGTTCTCAGGCACGCAGAGGCAGTGGCAGTGGCTCGGATCGGCAGAAAGTGTGACCGTGGGTGAAAATCACTTGGGGTGAGCCCTTGTACGTGGAAATGTGTTGGTCTGCACATTCACTATCAATGACGAACACCATCCTTTTTGAAAATCTAATCTCACCCGCCACATCAGTGGGGAATTAGAGAAACTGTCTGTGGCAAATGGCCTGAGAAGATGAGGCTAATTCTGTTATCGGGTTAAGCTTGCCAGGAAACCCTTCACAGACAGACAGCCTTCTTGTCAGTGATTTAGGGATGGGAGAGGGCGGGCAAAGAACACCCCCACAGTTCTGTTTTGAGGTCCCAGATCCGAGTGATGCAGAATTCCACTGGGACGTTAATGTCCACCTGAAGCAACCATCTGCAGTGAGTGAGGAACCATCTAGCAGCTCCCCAAAAACATGTTCTTCTAGTGAAATCAGCGTACCATTGGGGAGAAAGTCTATCGGAAGCTAAAACGTGCAGGTTGAAGGGTCTGTGTGTGCGTGTGGTGTGTAGATGTATCTTGCTTCTTCTGGAGTTCTCCCGAACTGAACTCCTGATTTTGGTCCCTAGGACTTTCCTTCCTGCTTTGTCCCTGCCCAACCAACCCTAAGAGCTTTTGTGTCTAAGGCTTCATCCCATGTGGCCTTGATTCCACTGTCTTTGGGGGGCTGTGTGCCTGCCCTAAAATCATGGCTGCTGGGATTGTGGACCATCCTACCCGAGGAAAGTAGTGGGCCTAGAGAGGGCCCAGCCCTGCGGCCATGGCCATTGCTATCCTAAGCTTAGAGTCTACTCACTCGTGGCAGCTGTCCTCTGGTTTCGGTGGGCAGGAGAAGCGCCCAAGTGTTTACTAAAAATGTACAATTTCAGGCTGCAGCTTGAGGGGGTCTTTAGGCCTGGGGGAGGGTCCATTTTGAGCAGCAGTGTATTATATCGGACATCACTGGTCCTTCCTTGAGGCTTAAATAAGGAAAAGAGAAATAATCTTTCGGACCCTAGAATAAACCTTCCTTCTTATCCAGCCTCATTGGCCATCACTAAAATGTTGGTCTGTGGCTCATCCTAATGAACCAAAGCAATGAGATATGTTTCCTGAAGTATCCCAAAGAAAACAGAACACACTGTGATTCCAAATGTTCTTTTTATATTAGAGCTCTATTCTTATCTTTACCAGCAGATACAAATATGGACGGGGGTCTGAGGTCCAGCCTCTCCATTCCACATGCCGCTTATAGGCACTACAGAAACTTGAGCCATTGTCTGTCTGTCTTAAAAAATACATGCTTGTTTTGGGAGAGGGGAGGGAGGGACACTGGAAACGACACCATGGTTAGGGGGCAGGGGGGGGATCTGTCTTGTTTATTACCAAGACTTGGACTTACCAAGAGAAGTCTAGTACAGGAAGAATGATGTGAAAGTACTTGGTTAAATGAAGGAGAGATCTGGGGTCTGGTCTTACACCTAATAAGCACATGGTGAGTGCAGTTAGAAATCAGCTTGAGGACTCAATTCTCATGGTTACCTAGGGCAATTCCAAGAGGTCTAGTAGGTCTCAAAGGTGTTTTTTTTTTTTTGTTTGTTTTGTTTTTTTTTAGCTGGGCTCAAACCCTCTTATCCTTTCCCACAAGATCCATACACTGAGTCTTCCCAGGCATCTTACTTCCCGGTTCTACACATCACTTAGGGAATCATGGAGGAATTCCGATTTGTCTCCTATTAGCCAATTCACAACCAAATTAGCAAACGGTTAAGATGGTCCTCAAACTACTAACCAGAAACCCCATGAATACGTTCTCTCTTCTCCCGCAAGTGACGGCCTTCATCTCTCACATGAACACAAAATGCCTCACTGTGCTCAAACGTGTTTTCATTCGCTAAGAGGTCAATAAAGTCCATTTTCTCTCTGCCTTGTTGGGTGTCATTCTTCCTTTGGGGTTTCAATGCTGAGTCTATAGCAACCTGTTGCAGGAACCCCAGACTCTGGATCCTCCCCTAGTAACTTGCTAAGTTACTAAGTCAACTAGTAAAGTCAGTCCTTCAGTGCGCTCTGCAGCCCACTTTGCAACTTCTTCTTCAACAGAAGCCAGAGAGAGGACTGGGGAAAGGTGAGGGGGCAAGGGAATAGAGGTCAAGCAGAAAGCCATCAGGGGCTATGCTGCCTCATTCTGACGAATGCAGAGTCACTGGCCACTCGAGGACCTGTCTGCCCCGGGATGACAATGGAGACCACATATGAGCTTCCCAGGTACAGGAGCTGCCCGTGGGGAGCGGCCTGAACCCGCCATCTGCTGAAACCAAATGGAAGAACGAAACCTCTCTTTCCAAGTTCACATTTCTCAAATGAAGTTTAAAACATTGCCCAGCAATGTAATAAAACAAGACGTTGGTCCCATTTCGGGCTTGTATGTGAATACTGATTGTTGGGGAAATTAGTAAATGGAAAAAAAGAAAATAAAAATAGAATTACTTTATTAATTTTAGAAATCAGTAATTCCAAAGGGTGCCCTTACCATGGCTCATGCGGTCAGCAGCACACTGACTTTTCTCCACTCTCTGGGAAACTTGTGATGTATGCCTCCCTGTTCCCCCAAACCCTCAAAAAGGGAAGGACAACTTTGGTAGATACTGTTCTTGGGGTTTTAGGCTTGTAGGAAGCAAAGCTTAATACTGCAATCTGGAAAAGAAGAGGAAGCAAAATACAAATAGCCAAAGAGCCTCTTTTATATCATCTCTGTGTGGTAGCAGGAGAGGGACAGAGAAGACCTAAGCAGGTTTTGGGCGGGGTGGGGAGGTAAAAGGGGTAAAAGATACATGTGTGCTCTGACGGGGTATATAACGTCATCAGTTGAATGTCCCCACTGCCAAGTTCAATCAAAACCCAGCCGATGTGTTTTCCCGTTGTCTCAGTAAAAGTCTCGAGTGGATGAATGGCAACAATCTACTGCCACTGCTGCTCGAAGGCTCTGGGGACTGAGGCAGCCAAAAAAAAAAAAAAAATACCATGGACCCCTTGCAGCGCCTCCGTCACACCCCCGGCAGCAGTGGGACGGCAAATCGTTTCTTCCTCCGTGTGGTCGTGGCTCATCTTTTACTGTGAGCATTATCTGAAAAAGAGAACCAACTGCTAAGTGACTGCAGTGAGGATGTGGGGTTTTACCTTCTTACAGCAACGTCTGGTTTAGTCAGCGTTACTGAAGACTAAAGAAGTTGTGGCCAAATAAATGGAGCTCACCTTGAACTTAAGGACTTTTCATGTTAACCACTTTTGTTGGAAACCTTTCTAATGCGCTCTTGTTCTACTGCTTCCTTTTTGTGTACTTCTTAGTTTCTTCCCCTGCCCCCTCCCCACGCCAAGAACATTTTATCCCTTTTGCTTTTTTAAAAAAAATTTTTAATGTTTTATTTATTTTTGAGAGAGATAGAGAGAGCGTGAGCAGGGGAGGGTCAGAGAGAGAGAGAGAGAGAGAGAGAGAGAGAGAAAGAGAGAGACGCAGAATCCGAAGAAGGCTCCAGGCTCTGAGCTAGCTGTCAGCAGAGCCTGATGCAGGGCTCGAACCCACAAACCACCCACAAACCGTGAGATCAAGACCTGAGCCAAGTCAGAGCTTAACCAACTGAGTCACCCAGGCGCCCCTCCCTTTTGCTTCTTAAACAGAAGGTGCTAATTATGTTAACCCTTTCTAGAAACGTAGGGCCAGTGGGATTAGCATTCACTATTGAACTGCATGGAAAAACTGCTCTATGTACTCCTCTGAGGTTGTCTATATCTCTGTTGAATACCAGGTTGACAGAATACACCGTGCCTTGTACCCCTGTCCCCATCCCCACAATATACACCTACGTCCCACCACCTGGTTTACAGTTACCCTGAGTCCCCTGTGAGGCCCCTCCCATTCCCTTGCCCTGTTTTTAAAAAACAATTTAAACAATTTTGTTTATTCTTCCCGTTTGTTTTTTAAAAAACAGGTTTATTTACCACATATACTCATATCCCTAAATATATGTTGTTTTGTTTTGTGTGGTTTTCAATGCTACGGGGCCGCTATAACTATTATTATATGTGATCTCAGCACACAACTGGGAGAATTTCTTCAGTTATATACTTAGGAGTGTAACTGCTGGGTCATCGACAATTGTATCTTCAACTCTCTAAAAATAATGCCATGTTACATTCCAAAGTGGTGGCACCAGTTCCTCCCCCTCCCCCCAGAGTAACGATGCCCTCCCCCTGCTTCGCTGCCTCCCCTACATGTGAAGAAGGGCTACTGAGTTTAAAATATTTGCCAGTCAAGTGTCCTACTGAGGTTTTAATTAGCATCTTCCCCAATTAGAAATGAGGTTGAGGGATGCCTGGGTGGCTCAGTCAGCTTAAGCCTCTGACTGTTCGTTTCTGTTCAGGTCAAGATCTCTCCAGATTTGTGAGACGGAGACCCTCATCTGAGACTCTCACTGAGGTGCAGAGCCTGCTTGGGATGCTCATGCTCTCTGCTCCTCCCCCACTCGCATTCTCTTTTCTTTCAAAATAAAGGAATGAAGTTGAGCCACTTTTCAAGTATCTATTGTGCATACATGGTTCTTTTCTTCTGCAAAATGCCTGGATGTGGCTTTTGCTTATTTTCTTACTGAGTTTACTGTTTATTGGTTTAAAAACAAACAAACAAACAAACAAACAGCTTCATTGAGCTATAAGCCACGTAACACACAATTCACCCATTTAATGTGTATAATCTGGTAGCTTCAGTACATTCAGTGTTGTGCATCTCCTACCACAATCAATTCTAGAACATTTTCACTGAAAGAAGATGAACCTCTTAGCCATCACCCTCACACATCTCATCCTCCAGCCCCAGGCAACCACTAATCTTTCCGGTCTCTAGAGATCTGCCTAGTCTCAAAATTTCACAGGTGTGGAATCACACAATATGTGGTCCTTTGTGTCTGGCTTCTTTCACTTAGTGTGATGTTTTCAAGGATCATGTTGTAGCATGTAGCACTACTCTATTCCCCCCCACCCAGTTTATTAATTTATTAGAGAAAGTGAGAGAGTTAAGTGGGGGAGGGGCAGAAAGAAAAGGAGAGCGAGAATCCCGAGCAGGCTCTGCACTGTCAGCACAGAGCCCGATGCAAGGCTTGAAGTCATGAGATGTGAGATCATGACCTGGGCCGAAGTCAGACACTTAACCGACTGAGCCACCCAGGTGTCCTGAGATGGATAGTTTCTTAAAAAAAATTTTTTTTAAATATAAAAATGTCAAATATACACACAAAATAGCATAGTGTAAGACACTACCCAGGTGCCCCTGCTTTTCATTTTTAAGTCTTTTCATCCAACCTAAAATTATCTACAGTGTGAAGCACAGACCTAATTTCATTTTCTGCACACAATAACTAACTATTCTAGCATTATTGATGGAAAAGTCCATCCTTGCCTTCTTTAATGGCAACACCTCTTTGTTATAAACTGTTTTCACATAGGAGATCAGTTTTAGGTTTCTCTATTCTGTGTCAACACCACGCTCTCTTTTTTGATAAAAAAAAATTTTTTTTTTAAATGTAATTTCTGCCAGCATGAGTCTTGAACTCTCAGACCCTTAGATCCAGACTCACATGTTCCATTGACTGAGGCAGCCAGGTGCCCCTACACCATGCTCTCTTAATTACATTAGTTTGATAATAATTCTTGGTATCTGGTAAGACAAGTCACACATGGACCTCTATCTCTCACTCTCATTTATTTTAATGTTTACGTATTTAGAGAAGGGGGGAGGGGAATGTGCACATAAGCCATGGGAGGGGCATAGAGAGAGGGAGAGAGAGAATTCCAAGCAGGCCCCGTGCTGTCAGTGCAAAATCCAAGGTGAGGCTCAATACCACAAACTGTGAGATCATGACCTAAGCCAAAATCAAGAGTCAGATGCTCAATCGACTGAGCCACCCAGGTGCCCCTCACTCTCATTCCTTAGTAGTACAAGGGGGTTATTCTTGGCCCTTTTCCCTTCCATGTAAATTTTAAAATCAGAGGCACCTGGGTGGCTCAGTTGGTTGAGCGTCCGACTTCAGCTCAGGTCATGATCTCAAGGTCTGAGTTTGGGCCCCGTGTCAGGCTCTGTGCTGACAGCTCAGAGCCTGGATCCTGCTTCGGATTCTGTGTCTCCCTTGCTCTTTGCCCCTCCCCCCTCACACTCCATCTTTCTCTGCCTTTGGAAAATGAATAAATCTTAATTTTTTTTTTTTAAAATCAGCTTGTCAAATTAAAAAAAACCCCAACTAATACCTTCTTAAATCTATAGATCAATTTTAGGAAGAACTGACATCTTTACCAAACTGACTTTTAATCTATGAACATGTACATCTCTACATTAATTTGGTTTTTAAAGTGATTTTCACTATGTTCTTATAACTTTTAAAATAAGAGGGGTCATATTTTTTGTTAAGATTTTTCCCTAGGTACATTATACATTTTGGTGATTATACTTTTGATACAAAGGGTATCTTTTCCTATAATTACACGCTCTGTTGCTGATGTATAGCAAGGTCATTAAACTCTCTTATAAAGGCAATAATTTATTTGAATACTCTTTTTGGGTTTCCGATGAGACAAATACATTATCTGAGAATACAAACAGATTTGCATCTTCTTCTGATTCCCATGTCATTTCCTTTCTTTGTTTTACTCTCCTGCCTAGGATGCCCAGCACAGCACTCAGGAGAAGGGATGGGCTCTCTTGTCCTGCTTCTCATCTTAAAGGGAATTCTTTAAAAGTTTTTCAACAATAGTACGATGGCTATTGCTGTCTCTTTGTAGAGATACTTTATAATTAGGCTCCCTTCTACTCTCAGTGATCTGGGAATTTTTTTTTTTTTTTTAAGTCATGAGTATACTGAATTTTATCAACTGCTTATTTTGTATCCATTGAGAGGAGCATATGATTCTTTTCCCTTTAATCTGTTACTATAGTGACTACATTAATCAATTTTTAAATGTTAAATCATCCTTGAATCTCTGGAATAAACCTATTGTGATCATGATTTTTTAAAAACATTGCTGGACTCAGTTTGTTAATGTTTTATTCAAAGTTTTTTCATTTTTATACCTATAGTTAAGATCTTGTAATTTTGGAACTTTTGTGGGAGGGCTGTCCTTGTTAGGTTTTGCCGTTAAGATAGTAAGAGCTGGGAAGTGTTCCTTCTTTCCTTCTATTCTGGAATAGTTTGGAGAAGATTTGTATATTCGACGCTTGGATGAAACCATAAAAGCCTGCTGTTGTATTTGTGGAAACATTTTTGTTCTTGGTTCAATTTCCTAGTAATTAACAAATATTAGGGCTTCATATTTCTTTTTGAGAAAACTTTTCTAAGTTAAATACTAAATGTGTATCCATCTCACCAAAGTTTTAAAAAGGTATCAGTACAGATATTCATAATGTCTTCCATCTGTTTAATCTCTGAGGCATATATAATACCGTCCCCATTTGTTCCTCTCAACGATGCTCATTTTCTTCTTTTTTTCTTTTGATTTTATTTTTGAGAGGCATACAGAGACAGAGCATGAGCGGGGGAGGAGCAGAGAGAGAGAGGGAGACACAGAATCTGAAGCAGGCTCTGGGCTCTGAGCTGTCAGCACAGAGCCCGACATGGGGCTCAAACTTGTGAACCATGAGATCATGGCTTGAGCCAAAGTTGGATGCTCAACCGACTGAGCCACCCAGGGGCCCCTCATTTTCTATTTCATTATTTTCTTCCTTTATCTTTATTATTATTTACTTTTCTTTGCTTTTTACTTTCTTTGCACTTATTTTGTTGTTAACTTCATAGGCCAGATTCTTAGCACATTAACTTTGAGCCTCTTCCCTCTCCCTACTGTAAATATATATTTGCCTTGAATATTGTTTTCGCTACATTCCTCAGGGTTTTGGTGAACAGTATATTCCAATTATATTATGTTTTTTTGGGGTGAATTAATTCTTAATTTCCCAAGAGGTGAGGATTTTCCAGTTATCTTTTTGTTCCTGCACTGTGACCAAGAAAGATGGCCTTCAAAATGTGATTTAAGGCCTGGTACGTATATAGTCTATGGATGCTTGCAAAGAAGGTGTAGGAGGTA